AACGAATTGTCCTGAGGGGAATTGGTAGTCGCGACTTGCCTCACAGCGAGTTGTCCCGTAGCGAGTTGTGCTGAGGCGAATTGGCTGCGCCGATTTCTCCCACAGTGAGTTGTTCTGAGGCGAATGGTCCACGGCGAGTTGTCCCACGGGAGTTGTCCTGAGGCGAATTGGCCACAGTGTTGTAGTCCCGCAATGAGTTGTCCCCTAGCAAGTTGTCCTGAAGCAAGTTGACTGCGGTGGTGAGTTATCCCATAGTAAATTGTGCTGAGGTAAATTGGCCGAGTTTTCCTGAGGTGAATCGGACACCCCAAGTTGTCCCCTAGCGAGTTGCCCTGAGGCAAATTAGCCGGGGCGAGTTGTCCCACAGTGAGTTGTCCGGAGGTGAATTGGCTACGGCAAGTTGTCCCACTCCAAGTTGTCCCGCAGGGAATTGTCCACAGCGAGTTGCCTGCGGCTAAATAGCCGCCGTGAGAGTTAGCCGTGGCGAATTGGCCACAGCGAATTTATCATAGCCCCGCGTGGGGCATGCCAATGCCGGCTCTCCTCCCGCCAAGCCGCCCCCCCAATGCCCTCCTTTTACACTCACCCTGACTGCGGTAGTTGAGCACGGCTACGGTGAGGTGCAGCTCCCCCGGGTAAGCATCGGGCGCGGAGCTGACGGAGTACTGGCGGGCCTGCAGCAGGGGCAGCTGGGTGAGCAGCAGCGAGGTGGGCAGCACCACCGAGGGGAACTCTTCCAACAGCTCCACGACCGTCGGGCAACGGAACCACTTCCACTCCTCGTAGAGAAGCGAGTCCTGCGGGCACAAGGATCGGCGGTCGGGACAGCCAACTGAGTCGAAAAACGGGGGAAGCGAAAGCGGGGCGGAGCTGAACTAGCGAAAGGGACTTAGGACTGTTTTCAGACTGACGACGGTCCCAGCGTCCACGGGCCACGGGATCGAAATTAGGACGCTTGGCGGCTGGCTCCTATTCCGCGAAGGAAGGTCCACTGACTCAGTTATGACGGTCGTGGGGTAAAGGGGGTCACGTAATCCCCTTTGGTGACCTTCGGACGAGCAAAGGGCATTAGAGAATAACGGAAGGGACCTCGGAGGTCATCTAGTCCAACCCTCCCCCACTCGAGCAGAAGAGCCTTACAGAATCGTAGAATATTGGAAGGGACCTTAGAGGTCATCTAGTCCAAACCCCCCTGCTCAAGCAGGAGGCCTCCGAGGCCCCTTCACGTCTCCGTGATTTGGCTAGGGGCTCCTGCTCGAGCAGGGGGTTGGACTAGATGACCCCCGAGGTCCCTTCCAACTGTGATTCCGGAAGAGCCTCCTGCTCATGCAGGGGGTTGGACTAGACGACCTCCGAGGTCCCTTCCGACTCTGTAATTCTGCAAGGGCCTCTTGCTTAAGCAGAGGGGTTAGACGAGATGACCTCCGAGGTCCCTTCCAACTCTCATTCTCCGATCCTGTAAGGGTGTCCTGCTTCAGGAGGCGGGTTGGACTAGATGACCTCCAAGGTCCCTCCCGATCTCTACGAGTCCACAAGGGGTTCTCCTGCTCGGGGTCAGACCGGATGACCTCCGTGTGTGTGTGTGTGTGTGCGCGCGCGGGTGGGTGCCCGTCCCTTTTCGCTCCTTCCTGTGCTTCTCCGTTCGAGCTCCGTTCCTACCTGGCTGAGCCGTTGCAGCTTCTCTCGCTCGGCACGGTCTTCGGCCAGGGTGGCCAGCACCTGGAGCAGCTGCGGGCTGGGCGCCGTGGTGATGTCCAGGAAGTAGGTGAGCGCCTGGCGCAGGGTGCAAGCAGGCAGGCGCTGGCTGGGCACCCACATCCGTTTCACACCTACGACGGAGAAAGAACGACGAGAGGAAAGTGGAGGGAAGCATGACATGAATCCCCCAACCGGGGCTCCAGCTCCTCCCGGCAGTTTGTGACCGACGATACTGTTTGGGTGGTGATTTGTCCGGACAGTACATCATTCCACTGGGTCTGAATTTGGACAACAGAGACTCGTGCTTACGACGCTCACGGGGTACCCTCTGGTGACGGGACATTCTTGGCAAGGAAGGGGTGGCGAAATGGGGGACGCAATTCAGAACCATCATGGGGGGAGGTGTCCTCGACTTTATGACCGTTCATTTTAGTGACCGTTTGAGCAACCGTTTGAAGACATCCATGGGGGGAGGGGAAGGGACAGGGCTTGTTTTTCCACACTTAGCGACCGTCGCAGGGTTCCCCCCGTGTCCAAAGGCAGACGCTTCATGCGACGGACTCGTATTTACGACAGCCGCAGTATCCCCGGGGTGGGGGGGGGGGGATGAAGGAGGCTGTCGTGGGATTCCCCATTGGTAACTGTCCAATAGGGCGGAGTCCACGGGGGAGGCACTTAGCGGCCGGGCTGACTTGACAATTAAGCGGGGATTCCCTCGACGACTGCAGCGGGAATGGTTGTAAGACAGGACGAAATGGAGAAGGATTTATCTCACTTAGTAACTGAACTTTTGGACTCCGTTGGGTTTGTAAGTCTAGGTCTTACTTTCTAGGACAATTTTCTTCTCGATCGGCATAAGTTGAGGATCCCGGCGGGCTCCTTCCCCGCTCTCTCCCCCTCCCTAACCATCCTCGCACCCCATTTTCGTGCTGTCCTGCCCCTCCCTGCATTCTGCCCAGCCGTGCAAAGTAGGGCAAAAGGCCCCGCCCCCCCTCCAGGGAGTCCGCTCTCTTCCCCGGCTCTCTTACCCTCGGTGCCCGCCTCCAGGGTCTCCACGGCGACGGGCTCCTCGGCCGGCGGCGCGTCCTGGACCAGCTGCATCAAGGCCTCCACCAGCACCGCCCGGTTGGCGGGAAAGATGCTGACGTGGTCGCCAGGTTGGTACTGCAGCTCGGGCTGGTCGTCCGTCTGCAACCGCACCAAAAGGGTGGACCGGCTGGTTGGGAGGGAGGCAAAGGCGTAAAGGGATTGTGATGGACGCCCCAAATTCAGCGACGGTGAACCTTTTAGGGGGGCGCCGAGGGCCGAAACGAGAGCGCGCGGGGGCCCGCCGCAAACCGGAAGAGCAGCTCCTGGTGTGCTCACGGGCAACGGCCACCTGGCTTCTAACGCACATCCGTGCATGCGAAGGCCAGCTGGCCGGTGCATGCCGGAAGCCGAAAGAATGGGCAATGACTTGGCTGGCTGGCGTGCCGGGAGAGAGAGCTCTGGGTGCCGTTTCTGGACCGCACGCGCCATCTTTTCGCCCCCTCTGCCCTGATTGATTCATGAGCCTTGAGCCAAGTTTCATTATTTATGAGGAGCGGCAGGTCGGCGTGTTCCTAGGTGCACTTGGCTCTGCCCCACGTAGTTGATGGTTCACCTAGGACCCTGTTTCTCCCTCCTCCTCACAGGGCGTGTCGTAAGTCCCATTCTCCAACTTGGAGGTGCGTCATAAATCAAATTCTCCAATGGAGTTACGTCATAAATCACATTCTCCACCTTGGAGGTGCGTCATAAATCACATTCTCCAATGGAAGTATGTCATAAATCACATTCTCCAATGGAAGTATGTCATAAATCACATTCTCCACCTTGGAGGTGCGTCATAAATCACATTCTCCAATGGAAGTATGTCATAAATCACATTCTCCAACTTGGAGGTGCGTCATAGATCACATTCTCCAACGGAAGTATGTCATAAATCACATTCTCCAACTTGGAGGTGCGTCATAA